AGACCACAGGCACACACCACTATACCTTGCTAATTTTCTTTTTTGTAGGGATGAGATCTCACTATGTAGCTCAGGCTAGAAGTACCTTCTTATCAAACTTGTAAGAAATAAGTTATTTTAATATATCATTATATCTTAGGAAATAAACCTATCTGATTTTAAAACAATATCTGAAAATACATTACTGTGGCCAAGAAATGTTCTTGGTTCTTTGGTTGTTTTCAGTTGATGTTGAAATTAAAAGAAACACAGCCACATGGTTTTTGTTGCTCTTGATAGGACAAGAGCAAATGCAGATTTTGCCAAACACTTGGAATCTGCTGAAGAAGTTATGTAAGAAAATTAGAAATCTGCAAGCCAGCTAAAATGTGGAAACGGAAATTGACAACCTGGGAGAAACTGGATAATGTAGAATGATTAAAAGATTTCAGAAGTTTTGGATAGAATCTTACTTTTAGCACATCTGTGATTGCACATCAGTGTATAACCCAGGTAGTTTATTCCTTAAGCCAGTTATTTGTTAGTATTATTTTTCATTTGAACTTACATGTGGCATCTAGTTTATCTTATGTGTAGCTCTACAGTGGAAAATGTTAAAAAGTGGGTAGAATATTGCTTGATAAGTTTAAATCTAATAAACGGAGCTATACTTCAGAATCTATACAGGAGTAATTGATGTATTCATTAATTCATTCTGCACTTATTGAGTGTTCTGTGTCAGGGCTGCAGGAAAGATATAGTTCCTGTTGTGGAAAACTTGCATTCCAAAAGGAAGATAATATATACAGTAGATTCAAATAATAATAAAACTGTGCAGGAAAAAAAAGATAAATATCATCAATACAAAGGGCTACATGACTTTAAAAGGTCAAGAGATTTCTTTGGCCAGACATAGTAGTTCACACCTGTAATCCCAACACTTTGAGAGGCCAAGGTGAGAGGACTGCTTGAGCCAAGGCGCTCAAGACCAGCCTGGGCAACATAGTAAGAACCCCATCTCTACAAAAAATTAAATTAGCCAGGCATTTTGGCACACACCTGTGATCTCAGCTACTCAGGAAGCTGAGGTGGGAGGCACACTTGAGCCCAGGAGGTAAAGGCTACAGTGAGCTGTGATGGTGCCTGCCATTACACTCCAGCCTGGACAACAGAGAGACCCTGTCTCAAAAACAAACAAACAAAAGAAGATTTCTTTCAATTAGCCTAGACCTAAAGTACAGGTAGGATTTTTCCTGAAGGGAATGAAATGGGAAAATATTCCAGACAGAGGGAACAGCATGAACAAATATTTAGGATAGAAAAGTTCAGGGCAGATTTGAAAATAGTGACCCAGGCATGTCTGGAGTTGTTTCCTCAGGGGAGGTTTAAGCAGCTGAATCAGAGAGGCAAATTGGGGTTAATAGGTGGAGTGTTCTAATCATCATATTAAAAGGATTGGGGTTCATGTAGGAGGTAGTTGGGAGCTATTGAAGTTTTTGAGTACAAGAATGAATTACCAGATCACAAGCATGGTGGGAAATTGACTAATAGTGAAATGTGTGCTATGGTGGCACACATTTTATTGTGTTATTCTAAGAGTACAGATAACCTAGACAGATTGATTATAGAAACATGACGGGGCAATCAATAGACTGGTTGAAGGTAGGAGAGGAGGGAGAAGTAAAGATGACTCATGGTTTGAATCTGATTCACAAAGGGAATAATAACATCATTATCAAGAAGGACCAGGAGGAAGAGAAATTTGGAGATCAGATAATATGAAGTCTTGAATGTTTGACTGGGTTGATAATACTAATAATTACTGAGCACTTAATTATTTGCCAGGCACTATTCTATGTATTGTACATGCATGGTCTCAATTATTCCTTAGAGCAGCCTCAGAACTTTTAAACAAGCTGCCAAGTTTGCACTGCCTGTCAGAGGTGAAGTCAGGATCCAGTCCCCAGAGGTGTGATTCCAGCACCCAACTTATTGAATGCATGTATTGAATGGTGTTAGTCTTGGAGGCAGAGCTAAACGAGGAGGAAAGACAGATGAAATAAAAAGCGAATGTTGATCAGGAAGATTTGGTGAATTCCCAGAAAAGATCACAGGGAACCAAAGACTTTCAGAAAACTGAAGGTGAGTGTTTCCAAAAAGACAAGAGTAGGAGAGGATCTAAGAAAAGACATTTGGATTTAGTGGTCAAAAGACCCTTGATGGCCTTAAAAGCAGTTTTGGAAAAGTGGTAAAGGTCAAAATCCATTGGCATGGGATGGAGGAACAAGTAATTTATGAGGAAGTGGAGGCAGCAGAGATAGACTTGGTGGAAGTCTGTAAGTGGGAAGGAAGAGGAAAATAGCTCTGCAGCACCAGAAGGTAGGACTGCTGAGAAGCACTTTCTAATACCATTCACTTGGTTGCCTGTCATAAGGGAGGAGAAGCGAGTAGCGAGGGGCAGATTTAAGATGTAGGAGAGAGACCAGGCTGCTTCCAGAGGAAGGAGAAAATGATGAGATCCAATACACAGATAAGAGGCTTGAGTCCTATATGTGAGGACCCTTTCTCCTAAACCAAGAGGAAGTCAAAAAGAATGAGGCAAGATGTGTGTTGGCATGGGAACAGGGGTGGTAGGTGGAGCAGAGAAGACCAAAGGCACTCGCTTATGTTTGATGATCTTGACTTTCTCAGTCAATTGGCAGGTGAAATAATTAGTGAGTGAGAGAGGTTCTGGTTTGTGGCACTGGAGAAGATTTGAAGCAGTTGCTGTGGGAATGCAGTGAACAGTCAAAGATAATAAAAAAAGGTTGCAACACAGTATTGTGGTTCAAACTAAGGTTAAGCATTATGAATTTTTAGTATAACTAGTTACCAAGTTATGAGACTTTCCTTTGTAATCTTTAGCACTCTGGCAATAGACAGCCCAGCAGGCAGGACTTATAAAGGGGGAAGAAGTGGGAGATGCTAGGGAATCCATTTTAGAAATAACTAGGCCAGGTGCGGTGGCTCACGCCTGTAATCCCAGCACTTTGGGAGGCCGAGGTGGGCGGATCACGAGGTCAGGAGATCGAGACCATCCTGGCTAACACGGTGAAACCCCGTCTTTACTAAAAATACAAAAAATTAGCCGGGCGTGGTGGTGGGTGCCTGTAGTCCCAGCTACTCAGGAGGCTGAGGCAGGAGAATAGCGTGAACCTGGGAAGCGGAGCTTGCAGTGAGCGGAGATTGTGCCACTGCACTCTGGCCTGGGTGGCAGAGCGAAACTCCATCTCAAGAAAGAAAGAAAGAAAGAAAGAGAGAGAGAGAGAAAGAAAAAAGGAAGCTCAGGAGGGTCAGGAATGTGCTTTTTTTTTTTTTTTAAACCTACATGCCAGTTGGTTTGATTGCAGGCTATCCTCTGTGGATATCACAAAACAATTGGAGCTGAACAGAGAGCGAAGTGAAAAGGCAGAAGAATGGGAGAGGGAGAAGTGTTGGAGGTTAAGAGGGATGCACATTAAAGGGCTCCGTGAAAGGGAAATGTAGCCAGGGAAATGCAGTTGAAATACCGTGTTTGAAAAATTAGAAATGACAGAGGTCATGAATGGCACTCCCACTCCCTGACTATGCACTGACAAGAGGATGTTAGAAATAGAAATAAGAAAGGTATTTAAGTGATCCAGAACTCTGGCAGTGGCTGGGGTAGAGAGAAGGGGCTGCGATCAGGTACAGATTCATAAATGATTATCAAATAATGCCCCCAAAATAGATTTTAAAAAACACAAAAAAGAGGAATTGTTATAAATGATGGAGACTTGAAAAAACATGTAGTTACAGAGTTATAGCATTAATTACTTTCTTTAAAAAAACATTGACATTTTATGTAATATGGCATGTTAGAGGAATGTTGATAGGGCAACTTAATGTATTAGGAAATATATGTGAAATCTAATATTGAATGTAAATTGCAATTCAGTTTAATGTATTTTGAATGCATTGAGTGTAAACTGTAGTTCAACTTAACATTTTTTTTTTTAATGCTGGGTTCTTTATTATTGAGCTTTTATGTCTATTTTAGCCAGGTAGTATTAATGTGTTCATAAAATTCAGAAAGGACAAAATAATATTTCTGTCACTTGAATGTTAACTATTTCTGAAAATATTTGTATCTTATAAGATATTTAAAACATTCATGCAAGGCGCGGTGGCTCACGCCTGTAATCTCAGCACTTTGGGGCTGAGGTAGGCGGATCATTCGAGGTCAGGAGTTCGAGACCAGCCTGACCAACATGGTGAAACCCCTTCTCTACTAAAAATACAAAAATTAGCAGCGCATGGTGGCAAGCACCTGTAATCCCACCTACTCAGAAGGCTAAGACAGGAGAATTATTTGAACCTAGGAGGCAGAGGTTGCAGTGAGCCGAGATCATGCCACTGTACTCCCGCCTGGGCGACAGAGCAAGACTCTGTCTCAAAAAAAAAAAAAAAAAAAAATTCACACAGAATAGAGCCAGCACTGTGGTTCCGCAGTTCCTCTATATAGCAGTGAGTTCCAGAGTAGACAGGAGAAATCTCCAATCCAGTTTCTGTTCTGCCACTACCTTTCCATGTAAATATGAACAAGTTATTTTCTAGTACCAAGTTTACTCATCAATAAAATAGATCTTATGATGTATAATTGTGATTTTCTACCTCAAGCAGCTATTTAAAGTGTTAAGCTTACACCTGTAATCCCAGCACTTTAGAAGGCCGAGGTGGGCGGATCACCTGAGGTCAGGAGTTCAAGACCAGCCTGGCCAACATTGTGAAACCCCATCTCTATTAAAAACACAAAAATTAACCAGGCATGGTGGCAGGCGCCTGTAATTCCAGCTACTCGGGAGGCTGATGCAGGAGAATCACTTGAGCCTAGGAGGCGGAGGTTGCAGTGAGCAGAGATTGTGCCACAGCACTCTAGCCTGGGTGACAGAGCAAGACTCCATCTCAAAAATAAATAAATAATAAATTAATAAATAAAGTGTTGAGCAAGAGTTAAAGTCATCTTTTTAAATGAAAAGGTATGCAAATATACAGAACTAAGTTGTGTTACTAGAAAATCAAATTAGAATTTGTAAATCTAGAATCAAAAAAGTATAGACAATTTCAATTTAAATAAGTTTGGGGTTAAATCAACTCCTTTTGTTTTAAAAAGCTGATTTTAGTTACTGATAGTTTATCATTATATATGAAGATAGTTTTAGGATGGCAAATCTATTTTCATAAACACAGATTATTTAGTCAGACAATGAAAATGTTTTTATTAGCAGGTATAGCAAAGAAAAGCAGATGCCTTATAATAAATAGGACCTTGTGTTCTAAATTCAGAGTTATGAGTGGTCCATATAAAAGTGGGGAAAAGCTACAGAGGAAGGGAATACCTCGTGCCTACAAGCCCTGACTGTTTCGGAATGTCATGTTCCTTCTAATACTGGAAGTGATGGTCTGGACTATGTGGTAATTTTTTACAACTCATGATGTGAAAAAAAATCTCATGTAAATATATTTCTGCTATTTTTCTTACAATGTATAAAATCTATGAGTTAGGAATTATGTTCCTAAAAATAACACCCTGGTATTCCACATCAAAGAAGAAATTATAACGGGAAGGTAATAATTAACAGACATTTAGAAGACTTTATGGAAAAACTGATTTTGTGTTACCTATTAAAAAATAAATAAATAAAAAGCAACCTCCCCAAAATGCTGCTGATGTTCACGGAGAAAAATGACTGTGTAAACACATTCCATTTTATAAGACTAAAATGCAGAAATAATAAGCTGAAACAATTTTCATGAGGGTGGATTCTGATCCCTTAAGAACTTAGGCAGAGACTTAGGGCACGTATCCTCCCCAGAAGTGGAACTACGTGCCCTGGGTGATGTCACCAGCGACTAGTAACCACCGCAGTGTAAACAAACATCAGCAGGAAATACATGTGGGTAGGGCAAGGGTCTAGAGGCATGCTTTCCTTCTAGAAAAGTCTCACGCCTTTCAAGGCTAGTGTTTTTGTTTTGTTTTAAGGAAGAAAGGGGACGCAACATAACTCTTGCCTTCTGCTACAGAAACCTTTAGTTTCGTGGGCAGTGTCTTTCCTTGACGAATGGAATCCTTGCTGGCAGTCTCTGTAGTGTTGAGAAGTACAGGACTCTTGGCTCTTGCTGCACTTATTGGTTGCTTGCCCCAGACTGAAAATCTTGTCTGTGAAACTGCTCAGAGGAAAGTTTCAAGTTACCAGAACTAGGCAAGCCCACTGAGGAGCAGGAGCAGGAGGAGAGGAGCAGGAGGAGGAGGAGGAAGAGGAGGAGGAGGGACCATTGAAGAGCAGAAGGAGTAGGGTGCGGGGGAGGAGGAGGAGCGCCTTTAGTGCTGCAGCAGCTGCTCCTCTGATTGGCCGGGTGGTTCAGCTGCTTCCCTGGAACAAAAGGTCAAAGTGGACTGCAGTGTAAATGTAGAGAAGCAGCCGATAAAATAGCATTGCCTGAAGAAGTTTGGAGGCTGAGAGCAGCAGCAGACTGGCCAACTGCAGAGCAAGTTGTTTCTCCAGCCGTGCGGTGCAGCCTCATGCCCCCAAGCCAGCTTAGCCACTGTAAGAAGACGTTCACTGTACAGACGACCAAACTTGCCGTGGAAGAGACAGTTGTGAGATTCCCTTGCAAATTTACATACGAGAATGGCTTGTGAAATCATGCCTCTGCAAAGGTAGTATTCATTCCTATTTTATTTTATTCTGCTATGTATTTTTTGAGTGGTATCAAGCCATATAACTTTGCCAGTACTTGGCATCTTTTAGTAACATGCTGCAAACTATGTAGAGTCCATTGTACATATGGTTCCTCCCTAAGAACAGAAAAAATTAAATATTATACTGCTCTTTTACTGACATTTTGCCCAATTTATCTTTTTCACTTGATTTTTGTATTTAGTTATATTCTCTGAATGGAAATGAATGTAAGAAAATACCTTTGAAATCTGAAGAAAAACATAGACTGAGAAGTATAGTGAGTGAGTTTATAATAAAAACTGAATCAGCTTCTTAGCAGTGTCTCTGCTAAGGCTATTTTAAAGGATGTTGATAGGCTGAAGACGTTTTTAAAATGCATCACAATATTCTTCTCTTCTGGAGTTCAGATTTAGGCAAGGATTTTCCATCAGTAAGTACATCATAATATGTGAGAATAAATATTAAGGATAACATTTCCCCTTCAATAAGTCCAGACAGATTTATTACACAAATAGCATTTTTTAAAACTGCTTGGTAAGAATGATTGAGCGCAAGACTGTTTTTGTTCCTTCATGATTATAATACAGATTGTGGGGCTGGGGGGAGTGAAGGAGTTATACTTTTTGCAGAGAAAGGTAAATTTAAACAAAGGGGCTTATAAAAAAGAACTCTGTTGGTGAACTAAGAAATGAAGAATGTATGCATGGAGAGGGCCTCAGGGCTGCCCAAGGTCACATTTTAGGATTTTAAAAATTACTTTTGCTAATCATATTGTCCCATTTCAACTTCAACTGCTTTACATGCAGTGTTATTTCATTCCATAGAAATGTTTCATTTAGGAAAACTATAGAAGGTTTTATTAGTTAAAAAAAAAAAAAAAAAAAAATTAAAAATCAAATAGTAAATGCGATTTATTTGAGGATTGAAAAAAAACTAGACAAAAACTAACTTCATTTTTAAAAACCATGCCACAAATATTTCAGTGAATGTTTTTGTTTTAGCAATGAAAAATAAGGTTTAAAACACTGTTTATTTGTAAAATGGTTTCTACAGATACTTACAGTGAGATAAAACAGTATAGTCATTTTTCCTTCACTGTACTAACAAGGACACCGTCATGGGAACCTCATGGGGGTGTCCGAAGAGTTGCTTTTGTAAAAATTAATAATCCAAGGGAGCAGAAAGTGGTTTACAAATATATCTAAAATTTTTCTAAATGAACTCAGTGAAAATGTCCGCATGCTTAAAGCTTGTAAGAGACTACAACACTTGGTGGAGTCTTGATCTGGTTTCCAACTTTAAAGTTGGAGACGTTTTTCCCTTTATAATGACATCAGTTCTTAAGGGTTTTAAGTGAATTGTATTCTAGATAAGAATATTGGCTAGTACTGAACTCTGTGATAGCCGCTTGATGCTATAAAACTGTTAAGAAGAAAATAGATCTTTATACTGTGAAAACATTGTTTAGGCAGTCAAAACGATTAAAGCTAAAATAAAACCATCATTATTTCCTGGAAATTATTTTGTATTTTTAGTCATGATTAATGAACCTAGTAGGAATAAATGGAGGAATAATTTGAATTTGCATTCAAGAATGTTGAGCTGCTACTTTTGTTTCTTTGCATTACCATTCTGAAGAGCGCTGCTACGTGCATTCACTGCGGCAATGTTTGCCCAGCTCTTAGAGTTTAATTTGACTGATTTCCCTGCAATCTTTACTGCCAGCCTGTACCTACCTTTGATTATAAACCTCCTGAAGGTAAGGACCAGGTTTGTGCAGTTGTCTTTCTTAAGCGTGCCTTGTGAATGTAAGCATTTATGTGGAAAACTTTCCTGCCCTTACGTGTAATTGTTTCTTCAAATCCCAGTTTGATATCTTTGGCTATTGATTTTTGTGACTCTCATGGTAATGATGACTATTGCTGACTCTCCCCACCGTTATGGGCCTGAAGCAGGAAGGTTCCAGAGCCTTAGTAGTATTCTTAGAATGAGTGCTTTGTTGCATTCTGTTTAAGAGCACCAAGGAATAGAAACTACATTGAAACTGGATGAGTAAAAGAGTAGCTTTAAATAGCAGCTAAAGAAATTCATGCTCACTATTTGTATGTAGCAGAGAGTTTAATGCTTCTCATACTTTGAGTACATGAGAATTACCTAAGGAACTTATTTTTAAAATCAAATCCTTCCCGTTGCCCTCCTTCCCTAGACTCACTGCATCCAAATCTGGAGGTATCTGCATTTTAACAAGCTTCCTAAATCTGATGCAGATGGTCCACCCATAGAGAAACACTGATCTAAATTCTAGTTAATGATTATAGTGCGTGTAAAGCTAGTGACAGCTGGCATATATAGGAATCTAGCATTATACTACTCAACATCTCCAAATAGCATATTTAATATCTGACCTTATGTGAGGATTTTTTCATAATTGATGCTTTCATTTCCTAAATTGTCAGTTTTACCTATTAAAACAAAACATACTAGAGTGTTGTTTAATATTTTCTCTTTGATTAAACACTGCTCTGTACGGCCAGTACTCCTAAGGTAATTAAGACACAGCTTTCCTTCAAAGAGGTCACATACCAGTTAGGATGCAGACACATTACCAGACAATTACAGTACCATGTGGTGAATTCAGTAATACACAGTATGATTAGCATAGTAATAATAGAGATGTGCCTAGATGGATAATATTATCCTGTGTAAGTGTATGATCTTATTAGGGGCATGTTTGTCCCCTAATGTCTGCTTACAATTTTCATAAATGCCTCTTTAGCCTTTCTTAGCATATTGTGAGAGTGTGCAGAAGATACATTGTTACTGCTAATCTGTAGCCAAGATGAGAATAACAGATAAGGTCAAAAACTAAAAATGAAATAAAATGTGTCTTGCTATCTGTTTATTATGGAATGTTATTGGTAGAGTTTCCAGGATGGAGTTGGCTGTTTAGTAACGGATGATCTTTAGAAAAAAACATGGCAGAGGCTGAATGTTTAAATTATGACCTTCTCTAAAGTCCTTAGTTCTTAATGATTCACTACAAATGGCTTAAAGACAGGATCTTATTAACTATCTCCACTGAGATAATTAAACAGTCCCAGTTATTTTTTAAAATACTAAAATATTTACAAACTACCTATAGCTAATAATAAAACTCAACATAGTGTATCAACTTATATGGATATTCTTGCCATCTGAAAAAGTTCCTTGAGAAAAATAAAATAATATCAGAAATAAAGGGAGAAACTATATTAAACTAAGAATTGAAATAGAAGTTTTCTCAGGTGACTAAATTTACCTTCTGTCACTGAGATAATATGTTTTGTCAGATCTCAGGCTTAGTTTGTACCACAGACTCTTTGTACAATTCTCATTTCATTGAGTTTCCTTCCCCTTAGATATTGTGGGTCTGTAGGTAAGGATCTCTATTTTATGTATAGAAAGACTCAAGCAGGCTAAGATACAAAGTTTTAACTCTGAGTCATATCTAAGACAAAATTCTCAACTTTCGTAGCAGTATTTTAATTTGCAAGACTAACTTTCCAGTAAACGACCTTAATTTATATCCACAAGGGATAATGATGGCAGATGAAGTTATGAACCTGTGAGTGCTAATGATTGATGTAGATTATTTGACTTCAGTGCATTGACATCTGCTTTCATGTGTTGACATCCTGTTCTTTCCTGGGTTTGTCTACCAAAGTGAGAAGCTTATATCAATCATGTCTATGTAATTATTTTTTTTCATGTAGCAAATAATGATATCAAGTGTGTATTATCGAATATTTGTTTGATGATGGTGAAGCACATCATAATTTCAAATTGCAGTGGCTCTTCTTCAAAACAGACTTCAAGGAAGAGGATTAATAAACACGTATTAGTAGCCCAACATCTAAAAGTTTCACTGAAGCTTCTTATCAGTAGAATTCATCAACTCTTCCCAAGCATTGGTCTTTGGAATACCCTTTTGCCAACGTAAACATCAGTAACATGGGGATGATATGGGAGTCCACCAGGGAAGAACCCAGGTAATATTGGGCCAGCTTGTGAGTTTCTTTGTGGTGTTAGAGAGCCCTCTACTGCTTGTGGAGATGACACCTTTCAGTTAATTTATCTAGAAGTCTCTGTTTTTCCTAACTTGTTGGCACTCTGGTAGCACTCCTGGCTCTGCCCCCTCCCTCAACTAACACAGTCTGGGAGGGAGTTAAAAGCTGCCTCACTTCAAATCTGGGCCAATGCCTATGGGTTGTGTGTCTGAATTTATTCTTCATCACTGTCATTCAGAACAAATAAGATCTCTCTAGGCTCTGTTCTCACATGATGGTTGAATTACCCATGGAGCCCAAATATTTGCTAATTACTCCAAATAAAGAAGATAACATGAACTTAGGTGAGGATATTTTCAAATTTTAAGATCATCCTGTTTAAACCACTGAAAAAGTAAAGATGTTAGCTATTCAGTACAAACCAGTGGTAAACTTGCCATCAGAAAACATATACAGACACGGACAACTAAGTTAGTTGGCCATATATGAATTTGAGCGGGTCATTTTCATTGTCTATAAGAGATGATACCACTCAAGGTACTTATTTTATGAGGGAAATTTTGGAGTGAAAGAATGTGATAGGACCAGACACAGTGGCTCATGCCTGTAATACCAGCACTCTGGAAGGCCAAGTCTGGGGAATCACTGGAGGTCAGCAGTTTGAGACCAGCCTGGCTAACATGGTGAAATCTGTTTCTACCAAAAATACAGAAAGAAAAACAAACAAACAAAAACTATCTGGGTGTGCTGGCATGCTCTTGTAATCCCAGCTACTTGGGAGGCTGAGGCACAAGAATCACCTGAACCCTGGAGTTAGAGGTTGCAGTGAGCTGAGTTCACGCCACTGCACTCCAGTCTGGGTGACAGAGGAAGACTCTGTCTCAAAAAAAACCAAAAAGTGATAGTTTTGGTTTTGTGGGGTTTGTTTTGTT